CTACATTCGTCCGTGACATCTCCAACGATAGGATGCGACATGCAGGTGTGCAGGTCGTCAGTCTTTTTTCCATCGTTTGCGACCTGATGAGGGACTGGCGTAATGTTCCTGGTGCGGCGGAAGTGTTTCCTTATCTCGACAAGTATTTCCCTGTTTATGGCATGGTTGCTAGGGCTCATGCCGCTGCCACCACCAACGGAGTTGTCCAGCCGGGAGAGGGTGGTCTTATCTAAGCTGAGAAGCTGAATTTGAGGGGAAGGATTGATATTGTTCATGGAAGCGAGTAGGGTTGACAAAGTTAAGGGTGCGTTTTGATCTTAAGTGGATGTGGCTGCCTACCTTGGTATGGTTTTTTCCTACATGGTTTTCCCATACCTTCGTGCGAATGCAAAGGTTGTTTTAGTCAATGTATCTGTTATTTTAGTTAATTAATTTATTGTTGTCATTACTCTACAAGTTTCTGTATTTTGCCTAGCCTATTGGCCGGGCTAATCGAGTCTCTGGTATGTCAATTAGTTCAAGACTTGCCGAAGTCATGACTCTATGCCCTATAGCTGCTGTTTACTCTCGCTGTTGACTATTGTAATCGTCACCACAGGTTTATAACGGACTTGGACTACGTATCTTACGATTAATAAGAGCACTGGCTGAAATCACCAAAAATAGCTACAACTGCGACAGAGGTATACAAGGCACCAAGATCATTTAATATCCCACTAGCAATCTCAATTGTCACTATATACAGTTCATCCTATCTTTATACTCTTAAGGCTGCCTTGGCAAAGTGCTGATCTTTGTAGCGTCGCCACTCAGAGTAAAGTTGAACGTCTGCGGTCCATTGACATCTAGAGTCAGTTTGTAGTCGCCGGGGTAAATCCATCTATCACCATTGGTGTCTGCACGTGCCAGTGATCCGAGGTTTACCTTCAGGGTCAATTGCTGTGTCGCTCCGACACCAACGCTCTTGGCTCGCCCATATGCAGCCAGTTGCTTATTGGGATGGGGTGATGGGCCTGCGTTTGTAGATGAGAGGAACAAGAGGCCAACATAGTCGGATGCAAGGTTTGCTTTGCCGCCAGTGTTGTGTACGCTCACAACGACTGTTGCAAATACTGACGTATCTATGACCGCGCCTGCGTTGTTGACGATAGTTGCAACATCGGTGCCGGCAGTGTTGATAGACTGGAAGGACACAGAGAAGTTGGTGTAGTGCAGACCGTAGCCGAATGGAAGGACTGGTGTCCCAGTGTACCAGGCATACGTGCGTCCGGGAATGCCATTGCTTGGGCGCAGGTTCATATCTTGGATGTTGTTGTTATTGATGTAGCTGGCGGGATACTGGGTAATAGGAAGTCTTCCAGCTGGCGGGTTTGCGCCGGTGAGAACGTCAAAGACGGCATTGCCGCCATCTTGACCAGGATACCCGGCCCACAGGATGGACCTAACGTTGGGGTTGCTCAGCAGGGAGCTGTCATCAACCTGACCACCTCCAAACTGGACAATCACCAGAGGCTTGCCTAGGTTTGCCAACTGAGAGATCAGATCGAGTTGGTTTCCAGGCCAGGCGATTGAGCCACGGTCAAAGCCCTCGTTCTCTACAGTGATATCAATTCCACCAAGGTATACAATAACATCAGAGGAGCTTGCGGCTGAGAGAGCAGCGCTGAAGCCGCTGGAGTCTCCAGAATTAATGGCAGTTCCCTGAGCATACTTGACATTACCCCATTTCTGTTGGAAAACATCCAAGGGGTTTACCAGGAATGGTGCCGTGCCGGCGTAGTTGCCCTGCATCTGGGTTGTGACGTTGGCCCATGGGCCAATGATAGCGACGTTGGAGAGGGTGCGAGAAAGGGGAAGAGTTCCGTCGTTCTTCAACAAAGTCATTCCTCCAGTAGCAGCATCGTGAGCAAGTCCTTGATTCTGAGTGGTGTTGACATTTGCCCAGCTCAGCGACTTGTATTCGGATGGCTGATCGAAATATCCGACCTTGATAAGCGCCGAGTACAAACGGACCAATGATTGGTTGAGGGCAGCTTCTGACGTCAAAGCGGTCTCTACAGAGACGTTCAAAACGTTATAAGAGGTACCACAGTCGAGATCAGTGCCGGCATTCAGACTCAAGGCAGCAGCTTCAGTCAGGTTGCTGGCGTAGTGGTGAGGATCAAAGACGTTGTCAACAGCATCACAGTCGGAGACGACGTAGTTGAAGTCTTCGGTAAAGCCAAAGCCATCTCGCAGAACATCTTGCAGGAGGTATTCGCTTGCGCAGGCCGGGATGCCATCGACAGCGTTATACGCGCACATGACAGATCCGACCTTTGCGTCACGAACGCAAGTCTCAAACATTGGCAGATAGTAGTCTGCCATGTCTTGCTGAGTGGGGTTCAGATTGTTTTCTGTTCGGCCATTTTCAATATCGTAGGCAGCAAAGTGTTTGCAGGTTGCGATGATTCTGAAGAAATCAGGATTAATTCCTCCTTGAAGACCGCTAATCAGGGCCAAGACGTAGCCTTGAATGCGGAAGGCATCTTCTCCTGGAGTCTCCATGCCTCGGCCCCATCGCGGGTCTCGGAATGGGTTGATATTCGGTGTCCAAAAGTCAAGTCCAGCAAAACCGAAGTTTGCAAAAGCACGCGCTTCTGTGCTGATGGCAGTAGCGACGTTTTGGACCAGAGCATCGTCAAAGGCAGCAGAAAGGAGAATGGGCATAGGGAAGCTGGTTGCAGCGCTAAAGTTGGCACCAAGAGGCGACTGGAATTGGACACCGGTACTGCCAGCAACTCCGTGGAGTGCTTCATTCTGCCATTGGTATGCGGGCAAGCCGAGTCTCGCACTGCCAGAGGCCGAGCTGCCAACGTTGGCAACTTTCTCATCAAGAGTCATAGGCTTCACAATAGCGGCGGCTCTCTCAGCCATGCTGAGTGTGGTATCACAGATATCATTGCTGCACAGGGGATCACGGGTACAGTCGGGGAATGAAGGCGTCAAGGGGGGGTTTGTCGAGGGGTTGGTGACGGAGTAGATGTTGATCCTGCAAAGTTGTGTTAGACTGGAATATTCCTTGACACTTCAAGGTCACCTCAGGGTTATGGAGTCGTTGAATAACATACATATTTCCACCGCCACAAGTCTTGCTGGAGTCCGCAGGGCATGGTGTGCTGCATTGGCTATCATCAGCCTTTTCGGCTGTGCTCTCAATGCTATGGCCACAGAAGCATTGGCTTTCAGCAGTAGAATAGTCAGTCTCAGAATGTACAGAGGCCAAATGTTCAAGAAGCGCAAGCTTCAAATCTTCATGTTACTCACATGGCAAACTCGACTCCAGCAAACTGGTAACCAGCCGCACCGCACACGTTGGCGCAGTACTGCGGTGAGTTGAGGTTTCCAACCGTCAAGAACGGGCCCGCGAGATCACGGGGCGAGTTGGGATCATGGTAGCATCCCACGTACGTTGTCTGCGCCGTATACACTGGCAAACAAGTTCGAGATTGGGCAACATGGAAGAGGGCCATGGAGAACATCCATGGTAACAGCTGTAGACGCGCCATGGCGGACTTTGAAAGCGATGCACCAGGCACCCTGGAGCCTCAGAATATCAATCTGTGCGCCTGGTTTATAGCGATGAATCGTATTCCGCATTTTCGTAAAAACAAATTCCCGCTTGTTATATACGCCTCCCGGCTGCATGTGCTCCCTGCTTACTATCGCCCGCAGCTCTCTGACCTACATTCAGAAATGGCTTCATCACTCAAATCCGCTTTCTTAATCGAGCAAGGCTTATGACCCGACGGGTGTGACCATCTCCGGTTTCCGAACGTCTACCTACCTCTCTGTTTCTCGATGTGCCGATCCTCGCCCTCTGCGGAAACCTCACTCACATCTCCATTACGCCATCTTCTACCAAGAGAGTATCGAAGGACTAAATCGTGACATCTATCGTCTTCCCCAGATTTTCCCGTCTCCTAAAGTTTAGATTCCCGGCGGCTCGTTCGTCGACTGCCGTGGCCAAGGCTTTTCCCCGCAGCCTCAGCTGTCACCCCTCCATGTTGGTTGGAGACGTCTCTGGACGGCAGTGCCTTTAGAACAGAGCCAAGGTTGCAGCTAGAATTACGGACTATAGTTAGGCTTCCAACGTTAATTTTCCGGCTAGATCTGGTGGTTGTTTAGCCTAAAGCTGCAACGCCAGCACAGCGTGATATTAGTGGCGGACAAGTTGAAAATGTCCCGGCCCCGGTGTCCAATAATTCCTGCATGCAGCGCCAATCCGGCAGTCCACCTTAAAGCTAGGCCGTCTCCCTACTCACCAACCTCCATCTGAGATTTTACTCTTGGCTGTTATTACGCAACGTTGGCTATTTGTAGGTGTCTAATGCGATGTGATGGTGGGAACCATGCGTCTTCTTGTGATAGAATTTACAGGGAACGACCGAGATTACTGCCGAAGCGAGTGAGCGCCGGACACCTTTGTGGTAGGTGGCTATCATGTTTACTATTCCCTGAGTAGTCCACCATTAATCCGCCATTCACAGAATCTTTCTCTGGCTGTCAGTTGAAAGCTTGAAAGTAAAGGGGCAAGCGTGGAGCTTCTTGATCGGGCCTAGTCAGTTCCTAGCTGTGTCTTACAGCTAGGATATGCCCTATTTCTGACAACTAGGACAGCATCAGACCCGGGCACTATCGATTTTAGCATCGGATGATGGTGCTTACCTTCGTATACTTGCTCCGTGCATTTCAATGTGGTATAGTTCCTGAAACACGTAAACTTGCCGTTTCTCGGAATTAAAGCGAGTAAGCGGATAGTACGGAACATGGTGATATAGGCCGTTGCTGAAAGAATAGGAGAGCCGATCTGGATAGATAAAAAGTGTAGAGAAGCGCTAAGAATGGTCCTGTTCCTCGAGATCTTCGTTGCTTCGACAGGCCCTCCCGCTTCTTTATTCGCTGCCTATAAACCGCTGCCTTCTTATACAGGGGTAATCAGATTGCACTAGCAAGTCAAGATGAAGAACGTTTTCGCTGCGGCTGCATTGCCTGTTCTGGCATCCGCAGCTTGTATCTCCTCGGGAGACCAAAACACAATCAACAACGCCTTCCAATCTGGAGGACAGAATGCCGTTGTTCAGCTCTGCCCCAATGCGTTGATCCAGATCACCGATATCGTCAAGTTCACCGCCGATGGCCAGGAACTCTCTACGCAGGGCTACCCTACCGACAGCTCCAGAGCCACCATCCAGGTCGCCGTCGGCAGTGGTGCCAGCACGCTGATTTCTGCCAGAGATCTCAACAACATTCGCCTCAAGAATATCCAGTTGGAGGGTAACCGACAAAACGCTGGCTTCCTCTCAGGCGGCGATGCCAACATCATCATTGGTGGTGTCACTTCAGGCGGCCAGGTCATCTCGAACGTAGCATCGCGAAACCCTCGCAGCTGGAGTTGTCTCCATGTTATTGGCTCTGGACAGGATAACAACCCTTGCAGAAATGTTACCCTTACCAACAATGACATTGGCCCTTGCGGTCAATCTGGTACTGATCCCGCTAGTGGTGACGGCCTGTGGGCTGATGGCATCTCTCTGGACTGCACTGCCTCTTTAGTACAGGGAAACACTGTAAGTGGCTATGATACTAGAACCTCCTGACACAATTGAGAGAATGTTAGTATCTAACCTATCGGCGCTAGATTACTGGTAGCACAGATGGTGGCATTGTCCTCTTTGGCTCTCCCGGCAGCACCGTCACCGGCAACACTATCAAGTCATCTTCACAGTACCTAGGATTTGGTGCTATCAACCTTGTCGATGATGAATACAATGGTAGCTACGCTGGTGTTACTGTTACCAACAACAACATCGAAGGCGATAAACTGTTCAACATCGGTATTGGCGTTGGCGCCAATGTTTGGTCTTTCAACGACCCCTCAGCACTGTCTGGACCAGTCACCATCACTGGCAACACCATCAGCGGACATGTCAGCTTTCCCATTGCCGTCAACGGATGGTCCAATGGTATCACGGTATGTGATCTACGTGCAATACCTGTTTACAACCACCACTGACATGCCTTTAGGTCACCGGAAACACTGTGTCGGGCGTGACATCTCCCAAATCTAGCTTTGCTGATGCCTCTCAATGCAGCCAAGCTATTCAAAGCGTGTTCAACTCCAACGCAAACCTCATCTACTACCCTGCTGGAATTTCTGGATCTCAGAACCTCCAGTCTGGCTTCGTTGCCACTCCTGGTAACGCGACCAACTTCTTGTGCTCGAGCTTGCCGCTGCCAAACTCAGTCACTTTCCAGCCCGGACAGCTGACTGTTGTTTCTGACTCCGGCCCATTCGCTACGCTTCACAACGTCATTGCTCAATACCAGGGCGACAACAACTTGGTGGTTCTTCAGCAAGGTAGCCCTGTTTGGGCTTCGGGCCACACTTTGCCTAATGGTGGAAACTGCGGTAGCCCTTCCGGATGCCAGCTGAAGTTTGGCTCCGACGGTAACTTTGCATCTTTCTTCAACGGCGTCCAGCAGTGGAGCACCAACACTTCAGGCTCTGGAAAATCCCTTGTTGTCCTTAACCAGGCCCCTTGGATCCAGGTCAAGGACGGCTCTGGCAACGTTATTTGGGATACTACCAAGAACCAATAGTTGCAGATAGCAACGTAGTTGACCCTGTACATAGTATATAAACATATACAACTACATAATAAGAGTTTGATGCTTAGACTAATTGATTGAAAGATTTAATCATCGTGCTAGGAGGGAAAAAAGAGAAGATAACAGTGTCTCGTAGATGTTATTCGACATTTATTAGTGCCTAGACGTCCCTAGTTGAGTACAAACATGGGGTATTGAAGAATGAATTCAGAACGATTTTTTCTTTTCTTGGCTCTGGCTCGTGTGACTACAATTATGGTTCATATAGAAGCTTCGTCACCTATGTTACATCATCATGTTAACGCCAACGACGACCGCATGATGGCGTTCTAAATTAGCACTAAGTGTTGGCTGTGTACAAGGCCTTGTTTTACTCCTTCTTCTCTTCTATGTCCAATGCCCCTTGCAGCTTTCGGTATAATATGATACCCGAAAGACATGAAAGTCCACATCAAAATTGTACCTTATTTTTCTTTCACGTTGGTTATTGTATTTAAAATGTCTAAATTTTCTAAACCCACGACAAAGAAGCAAACTTCATGTATATGTGTGATCTATCTACCTAGACTATGTAGGTTAGCTTTTCTTTACTCACAGTCATAATGAAGAAGAAAAAGCAATATTTATCTCATTATAGCTAGAGCTGAGTGACCACATGTTAAACCTCGTAGGCTATGTGGCTATCTTGTTGTAACTGTTGTGGCATCTCTACCATGATCCTCAATGCCAAAAAAAAAAAAAAAAAACTGACTGGATACGGGCGACAGACTATAGTTATAGTCATGGTATCATGGTAAGTACAAATTGTTCTGCAGCCATCTAGCGTAATCAGAGCCATGTTTAAATCCACAAAGAATGGCAATACCATGTTGAACCAATGTCTCAGATAAGCAGAATTGCGCTCCAACTTCGGTATCATACGCCGAACTACCGAGGGTGTTACCTTGTGACGAAGGAGTACTGTGTCCCACTCCATAAATTATTTTTCAATTTAATCCCGAGAAGATACCCATTAAAAATTGAATATGTTTATAGTATACCAACTTTCTATAACACTGACAAACATTTGAACATATGTTCTCGTATTCACGGGTATGTTGTATGTCAGCTGTGATACAGTTAGATGATGCTCGTACGTACGAAAGATATTCATATTGAGAGAATACAATTTAAGAGAAATATAGCCAAAATGTTCTTGTAAAGTACTCTTTCTGTGTCTCTCTTACCCAGAGCTTACCAGGCGTCGACAGGTTTAACAAACGCACTCTTATACATCAGCAGATCTCACATTTTGATGTTACATTGACCGACCCCTTTTCTGAGATGTATATGTACAGGAGGACTACAAAAGTCCATGGTCACCTAATCTCCGAGACATGGAGCAGTTGCTAGATCTTACAGTTACATGACAGCTGCCATCAGGGGCTTGACACAGCCCAAAAATTACCCACAAGTCGTCAGCAGCCGATTTGTAATTCAAGTCTAGATTCATGTATAATGTGTGCTTTCATCTTTTGTAACAGACCAGCAGAGCTACAAAAGCCATTGGCAATATCGAACTGAATGAGAATTATGAATAGGTAAGAAAAGTTATGCGCGCCTGTCGCCTAATGTGAAATAGAAATACTAGTCGAGAACATGCAGTCAATGAGTCTCTAGGTTGGCAGAGCGTTTATTTAAACCCTTTCAGATAGTGTTGAAGACCGAGATGTCACTTGGATTGAAAGCTGAATTTACCAGTGGCTGAATAGTTCGGGATGGCTATGCGTAACCAGCGTTTTTCAATAAACGACCAATTCACAATATTGGTATAAAAGGCGGTGGTTCCATGATGTATTGTCTTTGTTTGAGATTTGTCCTACCGAGGGAAAATTTCGTATGCAGCGAAAGACTTATGGAGAAGCTCAATGATTTGGAAGGATACTAGAAAACTGAGCAGATTTTTGCCCCCTGGAACTACTCGGATTTGGTATCAGTGGCAATGTCTGAAGTAACCACAACGAGGCTCTGTAACTTGCCAGTAATCTTCATAGCTTTTCAAGAAACCTTTTAATTCATATATACTTGGTCTCAAAAATCTTCTCATAAACCAAACAAGGGCAGCCTGAAGTTTTATACCAGAAAATAGCAACATCATAGACGCAGCGCGGAAAAGATTAGCCAATAATTGACATTAAATCAGCCAAAAAGATAAAATTGATAGAAGCGGTCAATCGTCCTCATGAAAGAAGGCTATTCTGATGCATACATATGCGTGCACCTCGCTAATAGTTAGGACAGTGGATCGCTAACGAGGATAATGGACCCAGAAACAGGCCTGGGATCCTCAATCGGGCCAACCTAGGTATCTTCATTGCGTGGAGCTTGCTCCTAAAAGTAGCAGCCGATGGCAAGGGATGGCCGCGCAGGAACAGCATGACGATCTCGCTGGGGTTGTGGTTACTGATTGATGGACTTCAAACTTGGACGCCGCAAAACCGTTTTTCTCCATCCGGCCGGCGAATTAATAGTGGAGCGACAAGAATTCGCTACCCCGGAACTGGAAGCTATTCATTCTTGCACGACTACGCACTGCTATCACGAGGCACATCGTTGATGGATTACATTGTCTGATTTGTGTGTTCAACTGAAGTGCATTTGATGCCAGCGGCAATTTGTTGATGGAGTTAAAAATAGAACAAAAGCCAACTACTACTTGTAGATCAGAGTGCACTAGTCACTATCACACAATCATTTCGAAGTGATTGGCCGGTCAGCTCTCCGTCTGTTGGGTGGAGGCAGCTTGAAAAATAATCTTAAAAGTATCTCGCGTAATCTTAAAAAGAGGAAAACCTTTATCGTGACACTTGCCTATTCAAGAGAGAGAGGAAGAGAGGAAAAGGATACTTGATATCTACTACTCCATACTCCATATCTACTAGCCTCGATAAACCTTGTGGTTGTGGGACTCAAGACAATGGCTAACAGCTTTGGTCTAGTAGTACTTCTTTGAGGACTGTGAGACGTCATTCGCTCTGCAAAGTATGGCCCGACGTGCCAAGAACGCTGAAATCCCGACATAATCCCGCGATCAAAGCTGAGAAGCTGCTCAGCCCATCGGAAAATATCTTGACAAAAATCTAAGATGTAACACAGACTGCATACGTCCACCCAATTGCTGCACGACACTGAGTGACGAGCAAGCCCATGAAGTTTAGCGCCTCGGAGGCAAAAAGTGGCTGCCCTAGCCCCCGCACATCATCACAGGGACGGCCCGCTTGCAGACCAATAGAGGAGCCGGGGAGGTTACATTTTGCCTTGATCACAGCAAGCACGCCTCATGGTGCGATGCCCGGGCGGCTCGGCGAAGAGGCTATACAGCATCTAGTGTCTGACATTTATGGAGTTCTCTGCTGTTGAGTATAAAAGATCCATGGCCCATGGAACGGATAATCGGAACGAGCTTGCAATGCCATTTCCCAGGATTCACCACACGGCGCTCCACAAGCTTCTACGTGAATAAACGTCACGATGCGACATCATGGGTTTTGCTTCAAGCAAAATCACGGATATCTCGGCTCCAAGCAGGCCAACCTAGCCTTTCGATCTTTCCATTTCGAGACATCGTGCTCCGGCAACTAAAAGGGCGTTCTAAGGGGCGTTCTAAGAATAGAAGAAAATCTTTCGATCATTCATCGTATGGAGAACATGATGCGCGCCAACATAGATGGCTTTGGGGATACTCCAACTGTGCTTTAGCCAATGGAAAACTCTCTCTCGCTCAAGCCGGTTGTTAGGGGACATCGTTGTTTGCCTAGGTTGAATATATGAGGGGAAATTGGGACTGTGCTACAAAGTACAGATGCATTTGGGCCGAAGCTTCCTTGTTACACGTGCAGGGCATGCATCGTATAGGGAGTTCTCCAGCGGTGTCTAGAAGTGGATTACCGGCTACCTTGGACAAAGTGAAGGCGGTATGAGTCTATACCGTGCGACGGAATCTTGATTGCGTTGTCTTAGCCTTGTTACTAGGGAGCATCGTGTCTCGATCGGCATCGCTCGGCGAGTCATCGGAAAGTGACAACCATGCGGACGTCTTCCATGGAGGACATCACCGACTTCGAGTCTCGGATCCAAAACTGGAGATATTTCCCTGGCAGCATTTGATATAAAGCCATCAGGCGCTGCCCTCGAAATCCAGCTCTTCACTCACTTTGCATCACCAGCATCTGGCAGACGCGACAGAGAGACACGACTAGTTGGGAGTAACTCAGAGACCTACAAACTCTTCAATATGCACGCCAAGCTTTCTTCTGCCATTGCCGGCCTTGTGCCCGCAATGATGGCCATTGCAGCTCCGGCTCCTCAGTATGGCAAACTCTCCCTCTAACACTCTTCAAGTTCGCAACTAACAGACCGCGCTGCAGGATCCAATCTTATGGAGAGAACACTGGAGCTGTTGCTGGTGTCACTCCCCCTGTTCCCACTGTTACTGCTCCCGTTGGTAGTCTTTATGGAAGCACCGGCCTCCAAGGCGGCAGCAGTGCCAACATCCCCGACACTAGCAAGGGAAGCGCTGAGGTTAAGAATTTCAAGGAGGTTCCCGGCCAGGATGCGGATTCCAGCCTTGGTGTCTATCTCGACTTTGAGGGCGTCGATGAGCCGCAGCCCATCCGCGGTGCCTTTGGTGGCACAGATGCTGGCCCTCGCACTTTTGAGTACGAGAAGCTGAACCCTGATCTGTTTGCGGCCCCTGGCACAGACTCCGGAGCCGTTCCCAATGCTGTCTGGCCTCTTGGTTTGTCTCACAACCGCCCTGGAGCCTCGGGCAGAGCCGGTTGGGCCCGCCAGCAAAACACTGCCGTGCTCCCCAACGCCAAGGACATGGCTGGTGTCGACATGAAGCTCGAGCCTCACGCTTACCGTGAGCTTCACTGGCACACTGCTGGCGAGTGGTCCCTGATTTTGAAGGGCTGTGTCCGCGTTGCAGCTGTCAACGACGAATCTCAGACCTTTACTGACGACCTTTGCGAGGGAGATGTCTGGTTCTTCCCCGCCGGTGTTCCTCACTCTATCCAGGCATTCGAGAACGGTGCTGAGTTCTTGCTTGTCTTTGACCAGGGTGACTTTGACGAGAACGGAACTTTCCTTATCTCTGAGATGTTTGCTCGTACTCCTCGCTCTGTCTTGTCCAAGAACTTCCGCGCCCCTGTCGATGCTTTCAAGAACCTACCCCAAAACCAGCTCTACATTTTCAATGGTACCCCTCAGCCAAAGGATATCAGCAAGCAGAACACGACCGCTCCTGGTGGATTCCTTAGTGGCCCCGCCGGCTACACTTTCCACTGGTCTAAGCAGAAGGCTTACGAGGTTCCCGGAGGCTCAGTCAAGATCCTGGACCCTACTACTTTCCCCATCGCTGCCAAGTTCTCTGCTGCTCTTGTTACTATCCAGCCCGGCGCCATGCGAGAGATTCACTGGCACCCTACTTCCGATGAGTGGGACTACTTTATCCAGGGCTCTGGCCGCGCTACTCTTTACGCTGCCCCTAGCTCCGCCAACACTTTCGATTTCACTGCTGGCGATGTCGGATACATCCCTGTTGCGAACGCGCACTACGTCGAGAATACTGGCACTGAGGATCTGGTCTTCTTGGAAGTGCTCCAGGCCTCCAAGTTTTCTGATATTTCCGTTGCTCAGTGGCTTGCTCTGACTCCTGAACAGACCATCATTGACCACTTGAACATTTCTAGCGACGTCATTGAGGCTCTGCCTAAGGAGAAGACACTCCTTAAGACTGGAAACACCAATCTTACCGAGATTGTTGAAAGTGGCAAGGCATACTAAGCTGCTATGAAGGAGTAAGAGTGGTAAAGATTTAGGATGTTGAGGCGGAGTAAGTGCGAAGAGATGTGTTAAAAGATGATGATTTGATGTTCATGCGAGTCAGTGTTTTATTATTCGCCACTTCTTTTTCTTTTTACAAAGTAGTCGCTTTAGACGTTTTTCATGTATATACAATAAATGATAACATTCAACACACAATATGAGACGTTAGTCACAAGTCAAAAACTCCCTTTTATCGCGGAGAAGTAACTGTTTTATTTCATCATAATTTATATGGCAGCCGATTTGTAACATATGATACATTCAGTAACCGTTTGCAGATCACGAGTATTGCTCCGTCATCTATATGCGTCCATGCCTTCAGTTATATACCACCTCAAAACCCGACATATCATCAAGCGCCTTGCGAATATCCTTTGCATACTTAGGAATCCCACTGGGATAACAAACCGGTTCAAAGATCTTTTTAGGATCGCTTCCACCCATATAAGTTGACTTCACGGTCGGAACCAACATCTCGTTTGTGAGATCGACGATGTTCTTCTTCCATGCCACAGATGCCGCATGCTTTGCATTGATGTATTTAATATCTTTAAGCTGCATTTTATGAATGCAATCGGCGATCCAGCGGCCTTGCACCTCTATGGTGGTCGGGCCGTTGCTGAAAAGGGTTGGAGCTTGAGCACCGTATAGAAAGAACATGTTGGGGTATCCGCTAACGGTGAGACCTAGGTACGTCTCGGCGCCAGAGATCCATTCTTCCTCAAGTTTAGTCTTGGACAGACTTTCAAGTCCTAGTTGTGTCATTGCTATGAAAAGTTAGCGGGATTGAGATTAAAGACAGCTCCAAGCTAGGATATTCTCTCTGGGTATTGTACCTCCAGTTACAGTGTCCTATATGAAGACCGTTAGCAACGTGTCGCTTGGCGAAATTTAGATGATTGTCATTACTTACAAAGCCTGTTGCTACCGCAATCACGTCAAGTTCATGATGCGTTCCATCTTCGAGAATGATGCCTGTCTCATCAAATTCTTTGATGGCGTTGTTTTTGATGTCTACAACATCGACATTTGGCCTATTAAACTGCTCATAATAGTTATACTCGAGACAAGGTCGTTTAATACCGAAAAAATGAGGCATGGTAAGAGGAGCCAGGATATCCCGTTTTTTCGGATCTTCCATACGATCTCGGATTTTCTTAGCCCAGAAATCGTAGGATTCTTTGTTTGCCTCTGCATTGAAGAGGTTGTCTTTGTATACCGCAAGCCAAAATCGGAATCCACCACGATTCCACATTTCTTCATAAAATGCTTCTCGGTCTTCGGCAGTATCATCGAACGTGTTCTTCTCAGCCCAGTCGTACGTGAAGCCAGCGAAGCTTGTTTCACGATACCTAAACAGCTCTGGATAATATCTCTTAGTCCTCTCTTGCTCTTCGCTGGTTAGGTCTCGCTTGAGCAATGGGATTGTCAAATTGGGAGTGCGTTGGAAGACTTTGAGTTCTCCAGCTTCGGGGCCCCAGGCTTGTACTAATTGCACTCCGGATGCCCCTGTGCCTATCACTGCGCATTTCTTGCCCTTTACACTTATCTTTTCTTCCGGCCAAAAAGATGAATGATGAATGGTGCCTTTGAACTTGTCAATTCCAGGCCAGTCGGGGATATATCTTTTGGCCGACTGTAGAAGTTACCGTCCATTAGCTTTAAAACATGTGAATAAACATGGCAAGGGAAAACGCTTACAAACCCAGTTCCAAGGATGAGATACTTGGCCTTTGTAGTTCGGCCGTCTTCGGTACGTATGATCCATTTTCCTGCATCCAAGTCGAAATGGGCTCCAACTACAACGGTATTGAATGCGCAGTCTTTCTTGACACCAATTACTTTGTCAACGTGATCAAAGTATGCTCGTAGCTCCTCGTAGTTGGGATAGTTGCTTGACCAATTCCACGACTTCCATACTTCAGGCCAGGAAAACTCGTACTCCGGCACCTCGGAGTCGACTCCGGCACCTGGGTAGCAGTTCCAGCGCCAAGTGCCGCCAATATCATTACCGGCTTCAAAAATATAAGTCTTCAGCCCAAGGTCCCGAAGAGTCTTGAGCATAAAGATACCGGCTAAAAATGAACACGAAGTAATTAGCACCAGGGAAGATATCACAGGAAGCTGATACCTCTGCGTACCGAAACCTGCCCCAACCACAAGGGCATCTATCTCAAGAGTGTGTGTATAAGGGCCAGTTGTATAATCACTTGAGATAGAATATTCCGTAAGCCCAGTGTTTAGCTTTTTGGGTCCTGAAGGAATATTGTCACCCATCTTTATCCGGTATAAGAGTGTGTAGGGATGTGTAGAAGGTGTGTTAATTTAGTCTTGAATAGAGATTGAAGTAAAATCTACCTTTTAAAGATGAAAAGCTCTTCCTCTTTTATATTGATACCAGTATTGCGTCAACGTACATGGTAGTATGTATCCACCGCCACCGCATCGGTACGACATTCGATAAGGCAAATAGCTAACCCATTGGTTGTGTCGAAATTTTTGCATCATAGAGTTGAAGCATCCCCGCAGTTGTGAATCAACATCTTGTAAAGTATGTTACATGCTGCGACACTCCAACGGGTAGAGACGGATAGAAGAGGGGGATGTATGCATGCAAAGCCGTATTGAGAAATGGATGCAACTTCACACACAAGCCACGTCTGGACGAGCAAATTATCCACTTGTGGAACAGCTTGAAAAGCTCAGTAGTTATCCTTATTTCTTAAGATTGAAGCAAACATAGCCGGATGTGGGACCGAAAGATAAAAGGCGAACATATGACACTGAAACATTCGGGCAGCTTCCTAGTGTTTGCCCTTTCTTGCTTTTTTTCCTCCAATTGCTAAAGATGTCTCTCAGCGCTGAAACTCTCTCCCATCTTCGAGACACCGTTGACAGAGCTTGTTTTGATCCCCAAAAAGGTATTCCAGGTGTTACAATTGTGGTTATTAACAAAGATGGAAAAGAACTATTCGCACACTCGGCTGGCAAGCGCGGCTTGGTATCGAAAGACCCAATGACTCTAGATACCCTTTTCTGGATTGCATCGTGTACCAAAATGCTCACCGGCCTTGCTTGCATGCAGCTTGTTGAAAAAGGTGCCCTGCAGCTGGATGACGGAGACGCTCTTGAAAATATTCTCCCCGAACTCAAAGAAGTACAAGTGCTGCGGGAAGATGGAACCTGTGAGACAAAAAACAAGAAGATTACTCTTCGGATGCTGTTGACCCATACTTCTGGGTTTGGTTACACCTTTTTGAACGAGCGGCTGAGGGATTGGTCTTTCCCCGCTGGCGCAAATGAATTCTCTGGACGAATTGAAGATGTCATTTCACAGCCTCTGTTATTCCAACCTGGCGAGGGATGGGAGTACGGCGTGAGTGTTTCAATTTGAAAAATCCACAAGATTCTGCATCTTCACCAATCTTTACAGTTGCTAACGCGGGTTTCATTAGACGGGGGTGGATTGGGCTGGAATAGCTGTTGAACGGATAAGCGGACTAGTTCTCAATGCATATTTCCAAAAGCATATCTTCGAACCTCTAGGCATCAAAGACATGACCATGTTTCCTAGCAAGGATATGAAAGACAGACTTGCATATATGCATACGAGGGCTCCTGATGGCATTATAAGGCCACGGGATCACCTTTTTCGAATTCCATTGGTTATCAATCCCGATAATGTGGCTGAGACATGCCGGGTGTTTAACAGTGGTGGTGCCGGCTTGTTTGGAACACCCCAAGAATATTGCAGTAAGCCAAATCCTTACTTTTAAAGATTAATGGTCAAGGCATATCACAGCATCTAATCAGCAAAATTAGAGGTACTGGCAGTTCTATTGAATAACGGCACCTGCCCACGGACGGGTGTCCAATTGCTGCGTAAAGAGACAGTGGATGAAATGTTCCGAAACCAGATTCCACAGTATCCAAATTTTAGCCGCCAGGGAATTCCTGCCTCCAAACCAGAATTGACCAACGCCATTAGCGAGTTGTATTCGGTCCCTGAGAACCCACCACAGGGCTGGGGACTTACATTTTTGAAGACCAATGGAAGCGTTACTGGTAGGTCTACCGATGCAGTTCACTGGGCTGGCCTATCGGGTTTATGGTGGTGGTGCGATCGAGACAATGGAGTTGCTGGAATGGTCTGCACTCAGATACTCCCATTCGCAGACAGCCGAGTCATCAGCCTATGGGTTGAAGTGGAGACTCAAGTTTACAAAGCGCTTTCTGAGTGGAAAAATTAATGATATCTTAGTTCTTCTGTTCTTGTTCAAAGGCTTCCATTACCTGCTACGGAGTGAAGGGATTCCATCAATATTTCTACAAGTGTCTTTTCAGCTGATTGAAGGATAAATGAGGATGAACGCAAGGGTTAGGTTGGAAAATAAACCAGATCACATAAAGTTTATTCGAAGTTCAGATTTCAGCAAGGGAATGCGGCGTGGTGTATGTGTATAAAGCTAGGGACTTCAACCTGTCTAAGAACAAAGAACGGTTGTAAGTATAGCGTCACATCATCATTTCATAGCTGATAGCTTTATGAACTGGATGAATTGTAAAGAAGAAAAGATTGATAGTTTTAAGACCCTTGCTACAGGCTTCCAACATATCTTAACCGAGCTGCCTCTCAGCTTACTTCGTCTCCATGTTGAACGGTTTACCAATGGACAAGAAGTAATCCAACATGCTGGGATAGTCTGGAGTTCCCAAGCCCGTTACTGGATCCCAGCCTTTGGAGGCTGCGAAGCCAGGCGTCTGACAGCCGGTTGAGTTGCCTTGTGTGATATCATTGAAAATGCTAGTATTGGCATAGATCGCTGGGTTGATAAACCCGACTGTCGACATGTTCGCTTTCAAGCGTTCTTCGTTGATGCGAGTGATGATGGCACCGATGAGCGGAGCAGATCCTGATTTGGCACTGGTGGTATGAACGTCATCTTCGTCAACAGTGACAAAGTTGGCTCCATTTGCCGATATATCTGGAAATCCGCGGCCATCAATGTTAAAGAGACCGCCATCTAAGCCGATCCTATCGCCCTGTGAGATGTTATAATAGAGGTATATCGGTTCACCCGGTACACCGTCATTATTGTCATTAAAATAGGCATATATAGCGCTCTTCTGCCATACAGGAGCACTGTATATATTTGAGAAGCCGCCACCGGAGTAGTAAGGGGCGGTTTGAAGGGCGATCTCATAACCCTCGCTGCCATCATGATCACCTGGTGCTAATTGTGTCGAGCCCACGGCGAGAACATATGGGCAGTTTGTCAGAGACAGCGGGTTGAAGATGTTTTCTGCCTCCCAGGTGCTAATGCATTCGTTGTTGTTGCCCGCAACACCGTAATCTCCCGTTGAGCCGACTACCGTGACGCCCATCAGGTTGAGCTTCATCCACTCATTGCACTGGCGTCGATCATAGTTTACACTTTGCACCCGCTCTTCCGGGCTATAAGAAATAGAAATGACATTCGTTGGTGTAAAGGTGCCGCACATTCTCTCACCTGTGTAGCCGTTGGAATCTGGGTATTTCGGATCGTTTTCGGGGCTATCTCCTGTGATATTGAATGCCGTATAATTGCAATAGCTACCGTCAATAGCGTCGAGGAAGGTGTTGAACAGTCCTATTGGCGTTGAATGTTGATAGTAGGCGTCGTCAACGCCAAAGACACGGACACGCTGAGGCCAAACGATTGGATAAGCGACCTCTATGTCCAGCATGGCTTGGCCATCTCCTGTTGTTCCAGATGTCTTATCATCGCTGAACCTGGGAGCGCCATCAATTGAGCTGAAAATAGGAGTCTGGTGACCGGGCATGTACCTGCAGCGGATGTTAGTGACTTTGTTCGTGATTGAAAACCCCGATATAGCTTACGTCGCGAACTTCTTAAAGTACCAGGTCAATGCACTTTGATTGTACGGCTGCTCCTGATAAATACCCAGTTCATTGCCGTTGATGCTTGAGTTTCCTTCGTTAAGCGGGATGCGATACATATTGCTAATGCAGCGGGGCGTGACGAAATCATTGCAGTCGTTTGTGACATCTGTGCCACTGAGTGGGGATGCAGGAATTATATTATGCTGTGACTGTCGGCGAACATTTTGAGTTTGGGTGTCTCCAGACGCTTGTTGATCTTTGACGTGTCCGGAAATCTGCAGCCCTTTAATGGCAGGTGTGATCATGTCGATGTGGGGTTTAAGCTCTGCTGGAATTGAATATTCATCTGTACCAACATGACGAACACCCGTCCTTGGGTGCTCATAGATGTCATAAGTTGCGTTGACGAGTTTCTCAAGCTCCGTTACAGTAGCGTGAAATTGTATCCATTGAAGATTGTTGGATCGAGACACACGATTCGGATGGATTCCCTCGGACTCCAGCCAGCTGTGTACTGCATTCACACTGTCGTCGTGTGGCGCGAATAGATTAAAAACTTCATCTTGTGTCATATGCTGGCCATACTTGGGGTGGCCAGGGGTAGATCTTGAAAAGGGTCAGTGACATGGAGAGCAATTAGCGTTGAGTCTCCCGTACCTTTCCATGAGCAGGTCGTGTCCTTGGCTTAGATTCTGCTGAGTCAACCCAATTCTGACCGGCAACAGACCATCAGGGTTGATGTTGCCCCGTTTGGCCCAGTCATTTGTTGACACGGCTCGCTCATGGATGACATGTGCAGCCAGCGTCTCTGCTACGACGCAGAGAAGCGCCAGGGATGTATGTCCCACACGCATGTTTTAGATCAATTTTGAAAGTAACTTGTACAGAAGGAAAAAAACGGCGAAAAGAAGGAAAAGATGCAACAGATATATAGTATTGGAACACGGTCAATGCTTTAGCATGGCCCTCTGCGGAACCGTACAATAAAGCTCCCCGGTATTTAGTATGCACTCGCCTGCATGTATGTACCATTCGAATCTCCTCCGAAGCTCATGGCCAGCAATAGATGACCTTTGTTAAAAATCTGGATAATCTCTTAACAATATCTGTTCTCAAAGACTGCCGATTGCCTCTTCTTCGTCCGACAGTTATCGTTTACCCCTTTGGTACCATCATCTAGTCCTCCGCGCAATGAGCTCCCGCATCAAGCAAAGAGTGCGATTACGTAGTATTACAAGATAACAGGAACTCATAACCTGAATAGAGTATAAATATCTAGGCCGTATACGAGCGGTAATGTTTACTGGTAACGTTCCAGAGCACTTAGATAGAAACCCAGATGTTGAGCGGTCAACTTGACTACCATTGGCTCTACTGAAAGAAGTGTTCGGTCAATTTTACAAGGTTTGTGTTTGATCTAGCAACCTTATTGGGTACAATGACTCCGTGGCATGTTTTCACTAGAAGGTAAACCTCTTTATTGTAAGACAGTCTTTTAAATCGTTAATAGTCTTATCCTTGGTACATACATAACAGACAGCACGAAATGGTTACCCGTAAGAGTTGAATCATGAGTTGCGCAATCTTTAGCAATATACATGTATCTATCAGATATTTATTGCCTCATCTATTATTGATCATGAAATACGAGTATACACATTGGTAATTTTTGGTACTAAAGATATTACCATGACATTCACGAAAGAGTGGGCGGGCGTGCATTGTCCACATGCGCCACTATTGTCGGCCTATTGTTCTGAAAAGTGTGAAGAATTCCTTGGGCAGTACTGTAACAGTGCCTCTCGCACTAGTCGCATAAGCCTCATCACGGCCCATCAAATCTTATGAAGACGCCCATTTCACCTTTGACAATAAAGGTGTCATAGTCGTAAATACTAAAAGCAGGTTATTGATCCCCTCATAGGGCCAAGTGCTGACCATCTCGGCGTCAGCACATTATAGCGTAAAAAAGCAGCCATTTGCCTTTAGCTTCAGGAGTCGCGATCCAGTAGCGGCCGAAATAAGTGTCCGCGTTTTTCAGTTGAAAGACATTCTGCGCATGGACCACGTCATGCGGAGCCATGTGGCTAATACAGTACAAATATCAAGCTGATATATACTTCTTATTCCTAGACTGCGATATATGCCAGAGCTGGACATTTGAGCGCCCCGTTAGGCAGCAATGGTTGATACCTTTCTTCTAAGGCAAAAGGGTATCTTGCTACTCTAGCCACATTTAGGCAGTAATGGTAATGCAAGCAGCCAATACACGCCATAACAAAGCCAGAGCTAAACTTATCATCACTAATAATATCAATAATTCCGCGATCTACTGTCCTGCAACGTGGCCTAATGGATACAGTGCTAACTATATACAGCTATATATAAAGCCCACTTCCTCTCTACATTTGGCTTCCCTTTTCTAATATTGATGATGGGTACTTGAAGTACTAAATTCTACCTCACTAGTTGACAAAGGTCCAGAAGCGGAAGATAATCAGACCTATAAGTACACGGTTACGGCAATTACTGGCCAACATCAAGTCACTTCCAGTATAAAGAAGTGTATCGGGCGGACAAAGCCGCTACCCACCCAACGACAGTGTAAGTCAAGGCCTTCTATACAAAGCTTATTAAGCTAGAACGTATTTAAATAGCATATCGATTTCCTTTTCACATTATATACCTTCATCGCAATTTGTGGCGCAGTATGCATAAGGTCAGAAACCACCTAGGTACTTAAGCCATTGGGGCTATCAACTAACCTCCCTACTCCTTCTATTAATATTATTATTTTCACTATATCTAATATTACTAACGTCTAATAAATTAATACTATAGTATAATCTTAATAGCTAATAAATTACCTATATTTATTTTTATTATAGCTATAGTACTAGATTAATGCTTTTCTTTGTAGTGGTGGTTGCGGCACAGTGTCTTATAGCTGCACCTTTCTCCTAAGATTGTCTAGCTCCACTATTGGAGCAAAAATTGTGTAAAGAAATATAATTCTACTTAAGTATAAAATTTCTAACTTAAGGCTAATACTATATCGGACATCTGAGAGTAGCCTCCCTAAGATTTACTTTATAGTAGCATTAGGACAGCGATAAGCTTATGCAGAGCAAGTCAAGAATTCTATATTTATTTAATTCAATAAAGTTTTAAAGATCGTTTATGTATATCTGGCTAATTTTAAATACTTAAGAATTATAATCAATTTATCTTTATTCAAGCCTAACAATTTATTTAGAGTGCTTAAGAGAAATAGGTATTCTGAAAGTATCTGACTTATGTCATGCCCTAAATAGGCGCTAGAATAAAAGAGTTAGGCCGAGAATTCCCACGCTAATCCGGACAAGCATTCTCTTCTAATAGTTCTATAGCTTTACTAACGTTAGCGAGGATTTTACTGCAATTAACAAGGGTATTAGGTTTATTAACTAATTGGGTTAAATCCTATAGGACGCCAATTAAATATTCTAAGAACCGACTAAGAGAATATAATTCATTATTATAGCCTATAAATAAAATTCCATAACATGCCCAATTATTATTATATAAATGCTGGATGTCTTTACTGTTTTCTTCAGCAAGTCCTGCCCAATAGCAGTCAAGTATCACCAAGACATCTAACACAAGGTTCGGGATACCTAGTGCGGTAGACAGCCAACCCTGTAGGTCTAAGCTGTTATAACTGTTAAATGCTTGCAATTAATTTAATTTAGCGTCAACGCAGTGGGATAGTTAAGTATACAGAGGCGAATAGGATACAGCTAACTTATCCACGAAACCCGACGCCGCTGCCGGCCAAGGACGGGTTATGCTAATGTAGTATAAGATTTATAAATCTAAGTCCCTGATTTTTTCAGGGTTGTGCCAGGGAAAGTAAAGATCAACAGGGTTATATTTCGGCGTAAGACAAATACTTTCGACTTTATAATAATAAAATCTAGTGAAAACATCTAAAAGTCTTTTAACCTAATGAATATTATAAGTATATAACTTAGAAAGAGCAATCGCTCTTTTTAAACCCACCAGACTATCTACTCTGTCGATCTCCTAATAGAGGATTATAATAAGTACACGGTGGTAATTTCCTGTTACAGGATGCCGAAATGAAGGAGTTGCTATTGCTATTTCTTACTTAATAACGTAGCTACGTTTAGGCTAGGTTAAACACTTACCCTGTCTCTGACAAAGCTCCATAGTCCCTTGATTAGGTTAGTTCTAAGGTCCTATTTGTGCTAAGACTGCCTTAGCATAGGCTACTGCCATAGCTGCGGCATATGGCTACCATTCTTTATTTTTATACTCATCTCCATAGTCAGACACGCCGCAAATAACACTAACTAGGAGACAACTTATCATGCCAGCTGCCTCCATCTCAAGTCTAATAAGATTATACTTATCTCTAAGCTTATTTCGCTTAGTGGCATTCTTTATAAGCTTATCCCCAGAACTAATTGGCCCATACTAAACTCATGTCCGCTTCTTATCTAAACGGTATTCTCTCTGTGCAAGCTTAATTACTCCTGTCTAATCCGTCTCGTAATAGCGATTAGCATCTTAGCCGGGGTCGTTAAATGTTCCATTAGCGTGTTCCTAGTCTTTTATCTTGTTGTAGTATGGAAGAAACAAGGCTATATCATTAGGGGCATCGCGCTTGATGGTCCCTATAGCTGACATAACAATGGCTTTAGTCCTGGGCATGGCATAGCCGCGATGTAAAAGCTGGAATCCCTCTGTGGTCTCTCGGCCTAAATCATAGGCAATAAGCCCGGTACCGTTACTGTTAGGAGGCAGAGCCACTAAAATGTCGCTAAGTCGGATGTCGCGAGGCGAAGGGCTATGGAGAATTAGGAGGCCAGCGGCGATACCTACAAGCAGACCAAACCAAAGATTAGGGAAGAATTTCTTCACTTAGCTAGCAAGGGCAGCAGCAGAGCTAATGCCATATTCTTAGCCAGTAAGTAGTATAGTAATAATAACGTTATGCCCAAAGATATTACCAGGGACGAAAACGTAGTTATTACCACAATGCAGAGAGAATCGCCCATGATACTTATTGTTAAGCATGTGTGTGGCTACAATGGCCTTAATCTTAAGTGGCGTAATCCACGCGATGGTATAGTGTTGGGGATTTAGCTTAGCCATGGAATTAACTGATACTTTGTCCATAGGATACTATTCTATGGCGTACAGAACAACGTGAAACAGAGATACACTAAAGGGAGGCTGAATAGAGAGGGATTTTATCTTTAGCCATGGAATGAAGGTGCTACGGCTGAGTATAACATTCGTCTGACATAAGCTTCTCTGACGGACAAAGAGATATATGACCCCGCACTTGCTGAGGCTCTGGTTAGCTTTACTATACGACATGGCTATTGAGCAGCCTACATGATGCAGACAGGAAATAGTGAATAAATTAGACAGAAGCTTTAGCGATAGCTTGAGAAGCTTTAAACCGCGATACACAGGTATTGTCAAGTTTAAAGCCGTCGGCAAATTTTGCTATAGCATTTATTGTTATTATTATTATAAACTTGATGAAAATGTATTTACATCTTAGCGCCGGAAATGGCATTTCATCAAAAAACGAACCGAAATATTTTGACAGCCCGGAAACGATACATGACAACGAGATGAAGCTCGCACTGTACTAGCCACAGTTTCTCAAAAGTGGTCCGTGCCGAGAGAAACTTTACATTGAAACAAGCGGACACTAATTACGGCTCCTACTGTACTGAAGAAAGAACGTCAAAGATGATAATATCGGATACGAGCAAGGTGTTTATTAAACAATATATTTCTAAAAATAGAAAGATCATAGCAGCTGAAGCAACAGCTCATATAATAAGAGCTGCTCCTCCCCATAATGGACGTGCTATATCTTGATGTTTTTCAGTTGCGTTATAGTGTGTAAATCATTTTGGGGGCATCTCATACAGTAGTGTACTTCTATCTCTAATCAGCCAATTAATTATCGGCGACTCTCAATGTCCCCTGCAAGCGAACATCTCGGCTACTCGCTCCAACAAATATATCGTACTCTCCCTCCTGGATAACCCACGCCTGTGAAGTCACATCCCAAACACTGAGATCTCTTCTCGTAAGCTCAAAATGAACTGTTTCTGCCTTCTGAGGAGATAGCTGCGCTTTATAGAAACCACGTAGCTGCTTTGGGGGGCTATTTGGGATCGCCACATAGAGCTGTGCGACTTCCTGTCCAGAAACAGGGCCACTGTTGGTGATGGTTGCAGAGACTTTGGCCACAGGTTGCCAAAGCTTATTGTCATTGCATTTTGACTTGAAAAGATGTACTGAAGGCTTGATAGACAGGGAAGAATATCGGAAAGACGTATAACTAAGGCCGTATCCAAACTCAAACCGCGGAGCAATATTCTTCGCATCGAATGCGCGATAATCCAGGTATACTCCTTCTGTAAAATCACACTGTGGGTCGGTGTCATTTATTGAAGTACGCTTACACGGCGCATAAATTGAGTAATCGCTCTCGTTTTTCGCGATTGTGTACGGCAGCTTGCCTGAGAAATTGGCTTCTCCATAAAGTAGCTTCACAAGAGCCTCACCACTATCCTGGCCAGGCAAGTGGGCGATGATGGTAGCAGTAACGTTGGGATGCTCGATCCATTGGTCAACCAGGCGGATACCCGCGGCGTGGATCACGACAATGGTATTGGAACATTTGGAGGCCACGTTCTTGACAAGATCATCGCTGAAATCATCATGTAAGCCCTCGCGATCCCAGCCCTCGGTGGCGATGGCATTGATGAATACTAGGCAGGCATCGGAAGCAGCATTGACGTCGGGATTGGAAGAGTCCAGATCCCAGTTTACCCAAGTGCCATTCTCGCGGGCTCGGCGTTGAATAGCACTGAGAGGCTTTATATAAACGTTAGTTGAAAGGTATTCAATGCCTTTGAAGAAGGAAGAAAGTGATCCACATACATCGTCAATGTAAGGTGGAGAATTTGCGCCGGCTCGACCACCAGTAACAATGGTACCTCCCCTCGCGGCCTGGTCAAAATGAGCTTCGTCGCCCAACACAGCTTGGCCCATTTCTGGAGACGAAGTATATCCAAGCTGAAACAAGAGATCAGTATTCTTCGTCCGTGGAACCGTGGCATCATAGCCAAACACAGATATCATGGTAAGTCTTTGCTTAAATGGCAGCGTCTCGTTCAGATTCTTGACCAAGACATGTCCCGCTATGGCACCCTCTAGAATTACGGGCTTGGATGCAGGATCCCGTGCATCAATCTGCTCATGAGGCTGCGTGAGCTGCTTCAAGCCGACACCTGGAGTTGGAAACTTGTCGCCGTCTTGGCCAACTAAATACCACGCGGCAACAATGCTTCAGTCGGTATAGTTAGTACAGAAAAATACGTCGAGAGGATACCAGTAGAAGGGTTCCTTACCGTGTTGCCATGTCGGTTACTCGAGCTTCACTGACCGTCCCATTCGCAACTGCGTCTGTCAAATTCTTGCCCCACGCGCCAGCAAGAGGCATCACCATGTCCAATCCTGCTTCTGCACTATCGATATCGTGCTGCGCATTCCAGTCTAGCATGACAAATCCCTTGAAACTCAGCTCTGTTTTAAGGATACCGTTCATCAGCTTATCGTTTTTGCATCCATATGTGTTGTTGATCCTGTTGTAAGAGCACATGACAGATCCCACGCCGGCATGCACGCTATCCATGAATGGCCAAA